TAATGGTTAGGTTTAGGGTTAGGTATGTACTGGTAATGGTTAGGTTTAGGGTTAGGTATGTACTGGTAATGGTTAGGTTTAGGGTAAGGGTCAGGGTTTGGCTATAGAAATAAATGAAAAATGAATGGACGTCAATGTAATGTCCCCATAAAGATAGAAAGACAAACATGCGTGTGTGAGTGTGTGTGTCTGTGTGTGTGTGGTGTGTGTGTGGTGTGTGTGCGTGAGTGTGTGTGTGTGTGTGTGTGTGTGTGTGTGTGTGTGTGTGGTAGACAAGAATGTGTGTGTGTGTGTGTGTGTGTGTGTGTGTGTGTGTGTGTGTGTGTGTGTGTGTGTGTGTGTGTGTCCTTATCTCTTTGGCAAATATTTATGGGTCCTGACTTGAGTTTTGTTCTTCCATGACGTCTCTTCGGTTACAGGTGAAGCAGAAGTGGGATCAAACTTCTGTTTTTTTTTGTTTTTTTTTTAGTAACCAAATTAATAATTCCCCAAAATAAAAATCCTGTCCTTAGTGCCTATAGGCCACTCTGACTTCTTTGCTAGAAAAATACTTATTTAAGTTCTTTTCTGAATTAAAACAATGTACATGTATAAAATTAAAAACCTAAAAATGTCTCAGTAGAAGCTCAGAATGTGCTGAATGTCTCGATATATATATGTGTACGTATATACTGGTGTATTTTCTTTTCAAGGGTAAAATGCAGCTACTTATCAAAACTTTCTCTTGAAATAATCTAATCTAATCTAAAGGACAAAAGTCATTTTTCCTGAACAATCTGCAGCTGAAGAAAGGTCAAAAGAAATGTTTAAGCTGCCGTCAGTGGCTCGTTGGGGTCAGTATGCTAACTTCACCCCGACAAAACTCACAACGAGACAGGAAACAGAGTAGAAAGTCCTAAAATAACCTGTTGCTGTGTGATACCTGTGAGTCATGTTGAAAATATGAGTACTATTTTGTCTACAGCGCTTATTTAGGAGACAGGACAAGGTCAAACAGTGGACTGCTATAGGATTTAAGAGAAAATCCCATCCTATAGCAGTGAGACACACTGGAAGAAAGGAGACAAAAATGTCCACATTTGGACGGATAAAATGCAAAAAATTGTGAGATTAAGAAACTGGAAAGATTTTGGGAGATTTAGACGGTTCAAAAGTTAAAGTGCGTTACTCTAAAACTTATACTGTGATCCTGTAAAAACTAGTAAAACCTCAAAATACCATTTCAGACAAATAAAACATTGACTGAGGCTTCTACTGTGGAGTAAGTCTGAGCCACAGGGTGTGGTTTTCTCACATTTTTTGCCAAAATCCCATAGATGTTTGTTCATGGAGAATTTATTTATGTTATTTTCTTGTTTCATTGATGCCATACAATATGCTGCTACCAAAACTCAAACCACACTAGTCATGATCGAGCTACATATTTTGATGTACTCTTTGTGTGGGTGTTTTAATAATAGGTGAGCATCAGTATTATTCATTTAAATAAACTGATAAATTAACCTGTTTCTGTGTTTTTATAAATGACCAGGACTCAAGGGTTGAATATATTTCTAAACACGTTACGCAGACTTTATGTCAGTGCTGGTCCAGGCATTTGGAGCATGCGGAACAACCATATACATGTTTGCTCCGGAAGGAGAAAACGCCTGTCTCTGAGCTCAAGAGCCTAAACTCACGCACTTTAAATGTATATATCTTTAAACTTTGTACAGTAATTTAGCCTGAAATAGTTTTTTATGTTTGGAGTTTATAATCTGGGTAATAATGACCCACGTCTGGTATAAGTAATGGTTAAATGGCATTGAAATTGTGGGAAATCTAACAATTTTATTCCACCCAAGTTGATAAACTAACAGGCGAATAATCAGAAAGACATTTCAGGTAAAATGATAACTCCAAAATGAGTACATTTTCTTATATTTCTATATATTTCAGCTCTTTTTCTTTTACAGCTGCTCCCTTTTCTAGGAGTTGCCACAGTTAGCAAACTCACACAAAATATTATAACAAAAGTTTTACGCAATATGCCTTTCCAGACACAACCGGGGCTTGTGCCTGCGGCCTCAGGATTGCGAAGCCTCAGCACTGACCACCAAGCTACCATGACACCCCCCCAACACACACACACACACACACACACCTTTGTTAGTCCATAAATCTAGAGCTCCTCAATTAAACTAAAAATTAGGGATGCACGATATTGGATTTTTGGCCAATATTCGATATGCCAATATGTTAAAACATATTTGGCCGATAACCGATACCGATATTTTTCCCTAGACTTACGGAGACTACATAGCTTTCTCTGATTTAGAATTAAATACTACATTATTCTGCATGATCTTTATCAATTTGATCTGCTACCAAATGCAGATGCCAAAAAGGGGACTGAAAATAATGTAACACTTCAACTTGGATCATGTTTAATGTCAAATTTATTCATGACATTTACTCTCTCTAACACAATGACAACACTCGACCAGTGCAATTAAGTGCAACAACAAGTGAAAAGTGCATAGTAGTAGTGCATTAATAGATATACTTGACAGTTTCTTTAATGAAAAATTAACTTAAAACAGAAGCCTTTTATTTAGGTGAGTTATATTGATGCAATGACCGATGTCTGATATTTAACTTTATCGCTAATATCAGCCGATACCAATACCATGCTGATAATATTGTGCATCCCTAATAAAAATCATTCAGTTTGACTTCACAAGTTTACAAAAGAGACAAAGATAGCTGAAAAATACAATAAATCCTCGAACCGCACAGTACTCACAAAAAGGCCTCCTCCAATGAGCCCCCCCATGAGCCAGACCTGGAGGGAGATCTGGTCATTCTTCAGGTTCTCCCCATCGGGGAAGAACAGCAGCAGGTTGGAGATCATGCAGACAAAAGCAGAAGGCAGCAGGATCAGGCCCACCAGACGGGCACATTTTCCTGTACAACACATGCTTCCAGCTGTCGCCCTGCCCGCCTCTCAGAGGGGAGTCGAGGAAAAAGTGAGCGAAACCGAAATAGGGGGTGAACGAGAGGGTTGGTCGGCGCTGACGCTCACGCAGAGAAAGTCAAACACGAGCGGTGACAGTTACAGCAGGAAGGACAGAGGGAACAAAGGCCAAGTGTCGGTGAGGCTGACTAATCAGACTTCAACCTGTTGGGCGGTTCAGAGACGTCAAATAAAAGTGAAAACCTCCAGGAAGGAAACCATCTGGTAAATTAAACCCCGCGCTGAATAGAATAAAGGTACGAGTGTTTGTGTCCATAAAGGTGTGTTCTAGAGGACGTTGTTCCTGCGGAATGCCCTTTGACCCCCACAGGAGATAATAATCACTCTGGTTGATCGATCAATAACTATTACAAACACAGATTAGGGCTTGGCTGAATAAATGTCTTCCTTCTCAGGATCCTGAGTTTTTATGTTCTTTTTTTTTTCGTGTGTTGGTGTCTTTTTATTCATTTTATTTTGTCATCGTGTTTCTTTTTGATATATTTGTTGTCATTCGCCTGTTCCTCCCAGTGTCAGCAGCCATTTCCCCCCTCAGTTATCCCCTTCAGTCTGTCACACCTGCTCCTCATATTCGTTAGTCTCAGCTGATTCCACCAGCTAATCATAATAAAACTTCACAAGTCTTCAATATATTTAATTTATTTTAAGTTTAAACGAGGATATAATTACAAGGTTAACACCTAATTACCCACTTTTGTTTGGTTGAGGGTCACTTTTATTGTCTTGGGTGATAATGAAAGATGGTCTCCACAGAAAATCAAACTTATTAATAAATATGATTTTAAATCAATTAACTTTAGATGTTGAGCTACAATTTGTTCTACCTGGGTCATCCCCAACTCACACTGTGAAGTGTGTTTTCTGATTATTACAGCAGGAGTTTTGTGATGCACCAGAAGTGCTACAGCCAGCTGCTGCACTTGGCAAAACCCCATAGAATTTTATTAAAACAAAAATGCAAAATTGACATTTACTTTCATGGTGCATTTTAAAAAAACTGTGACCATGAAAAAAAAAGATTGGTGTTGCTTAAGGCGACAGCAATTCTCTTGTCTTGGCAACATTCAGACTACTCATCGGTCCTGTCAGATTAAATAAATAATAAAATTCAAGGACAAAAGTTAAGACGTTACTTGTTCACAGTGGGAAACCTTCAGGGCCTTCTACACCTTCAGAGAAAACCCATAAATTTGACTCATATGAAATGTTACATTTAAATTTTTATTTAATAGTTATTTGGCATAAAATGGGGCTGTGATAGCTCAGTGGTTAAGTTCTGCAGCTAGGCCTGTCATGATAACAAATTTTGCTGGACGATTAATTGTCTCAGAAATTATTGCAATAAACGATAATATTGTTTGAAATTTAACAATAATATTGTTGTCAAATTTTAGAAGAAATTTTGATTTCTTCTTTGATTTGTTTGGAGTGTAGTGCCTTTTTTGACCACTTGATGGCAGTATATGACGTAACATGGGCTGACGGTGACATGGTGGATGCTCTGTGATTTGCGCTCTTTAGCATGGCATTTTTCACACAAAGGTTCACTGATTTATTGTTTATCGCGACAGGCCTATCTGCAGCCTTGCAATCCTGAGGCTACAAGTTCGAGCCCAGGTTGCGTCAGGAAGGGTATCTGGCGTAAAACGCTTTCCAAATATTTCATGTACGTTTGCTTGACGTGGCGACCCCTTTATAAGGGAGCAGCCGAAAGAAAAACAAGATTTATTTTATATTAAACACATATTTTCAATGTAGTTTTTCTTTTTTTCCCCTAATTTCTCTTATTTTCTGTAAATTACTTCGTAGTCGACCAATAAACTACTTAATTCACAAAAATACAGTGATCCAATCAGACTTTTTAAAATTTGCATCTCTGGGCAGAAACATGTTTGAAGGAGCTCTCATTGGTTAGGACTTCACTGTCAGGAGAGAAGGCTGAGCTCAGTCAAAGTCCAAGTTTGTTACTGGATCCAATCCCATTCGAGGGCCCTTTCTGGGTGGAGTTTGCATGTTCTCGCCGTGCATGCGTGAGTTTTCTCCGGGTACTCCAGTTTCCTCCTACAGACCAAGAACATGCATGTTAGACTGATTGGTAACTCTATAAATTGTCCCTAGGTGTGAGTGAGAGAGTGAATGGTTGTTTGTCTCTATGTGTCCCTGTGATGGACTGGAGACCTGTCCAGGGTGTCCCCCGCCTCTCACACAGTGACTGCTGGATATGGGCACCAGTGACCCCCATGACCCGAAAAGGAAGAAGCGAGTAAAAGATAATGGATGGATGAATAAAAGCATAAAACATTCAATGGTGTGAACACTTTCTAAAGGCACGGTGTGATCTCATGTTTGTTTATCAGAATCTGGTTTTGCTTTCATTTTCTCTTTATTCTGGTAACTGACAATGCCAACCTACCGAAAACACAATACTTGAAACAGCTGATAGGAGAAATCCCCTCTGGTTTTTCTTGTAACAACTTTTGTGCCATTTCACCCAACACTGCAGCCTGTAAGGACGTTTTCTCAGGACGAATGGCGGGTAAGTGAGTACATCCGGTAAATTATTGTTTGTTGTATGTAGAAAGTTTGAGCCAAATATTCTTTGAGGAATAATTTTTAAAGTGTAAATTGGGAGACTGTAACCCACAATGTTAAATAAGAAACAGCTTCACTTACGTTGACTGTTTGCACATAGACTACTGTGCTTACACTGATAGACAATTTGATTTACAGGTTTTGATGTATTGTGCGTTGGAATGTTGTTTATATACAAAAAGATGTGCGGCAGTTTAAAGTAAAGGAGGGCGCTGATAAAGCAAGAAATGTTCTATCCATAGCTCGATCGACAGAACATCCTGTGACGGTGACTGTCGGGACTGTTTGGTCGTTTCATCTAGAACCTCCACCTCCTCAACCCACAAGATTATCAGGTACACTTCATATTAAACTTATACAAACCAATCAGAGATGTCACTGCCTTTGTGTTTTCCCATCTTTTGATTAATCATACAAAACTCTGTGTTTTAAATTGGTTTTACTGATCTGAAACAGTTGTTTTACCTTTGCAGTGAGAGTCTTGATTTTGTGGATTGTCTTCACTGTGGCACGAGTAATCTTTGGTATGTAAACTTTTATTTCCTCCCAACACGAGCTCTCGCTATTAATTATTAACGCTTTTTGAACTCGCTCTTTGCCGACAGGTGTTGTGTATTTTAAAGAGTGTCCTCAGCAGCCGAACATCCCCAACTATTTGTTAGGGATGGCTTTGTTTACCATATTGATGGTTTCTTTTGTGACTCTTCCTTGTGAGAGCCAAGCTGCTCAGCCACAACCCAGAGGTTTCAAAGCCTGTATGCTGTGTCTTTTAAGCCTGTTCATCATCATATGGATTCTGTTAGGTAAGAATGGGAAATGAGTTAATACACTCACTGACAAATATAAACAGAAGCACCCAGAAGGAATGGTCGACTTGAATGCACCCAGCAGTGTGTATGTAAACTATTTGATCTGCAAAAAGCCCTATCATGTTTGCAGATTGTTCAGTGTTTGAATCAATGGATATTTGAGAGCACTGAAATGTGTCCTGAAAGTTCTGGATGCCCAAGAGAGACCATGTCAAGAGAGGATGGTTGTATTGTGCACCTAGCATTACAAAACCTTTTTACATCTGCACCAGCCATCCAGACGTATTGATCTTTCCAAAACCCCATGTCGAACCATACTGTGTCTAAGTGAATGGCATCAGTTGGACTACGGGTTCAACGTTCCACGTGTTGGGCTACTATTAACATCAGAGTGGAGACAGTTGAGTTTGCAGTGGTACCAGAACTGGGAAGCATGGATGGCAAGTGGTGTCATACCATGATCAGTACTGAATATCTCTGTTCTGTACTACAATGGATAACTATCATGTGCAAAAAGACCAACTCTGCAAGTCTTGTGCAAAACACATCAGGGTTACTTCTGGCATTGAAAGGTACAACTTCACGTCACCTCTGGGTTCCTGGTGCTGTTAGTGACATCATGTTTGAATGTTTTACCCCTCTTGAGACAGATGTATGGTACAATCTTTCAACAAGACAACAAGTATGTTTATGGACTGCAAGCACATGTTGAGGATCTCTTATAGCCCCCCATTCTTTTCCCAGTTAAGCATGTTTTGGATCAGTTAGGGTGTCAACTCCAACCTAGAGTTGATCTGCCCAATTTCAAGATGTAGTTATAAGAGCTGTTGGTTGACTTGCTGTGTAAAAAGATAAAACAGCTGAATGACACCATTCCACAAAGAACCACCAAGTCAGAGGAGGTCCCACACCCTACCTACGTAGCACCATCAGTGCACCAAACCACCAGCTCTATCTGATCTGATATTGTAATCACTGCAGTATGATCACATGACCATTTGACAAGTACATCTCATTTCATGTCCACCACTCCTTCTTGGTGATCACCTGTTCTTGCCAGTGACTGCATCACGTTCTCCAGATCACTGAGAGACATTTGCTATATTGATTCTGTCTTTAATCTGTGATGATTTAATTACTTGAACTAAACATTGTCTCCCTTTCACCTGTAGGTGATGTGTGGGTTTTCTCCATCTACCAGCCAAACTACGACCCCACAGCTGCCGATGGTCTTTACTGTAATAAAACTCTGTACACATTTGCTTTCTGGAATTCTGTATTTGAGACATTTGGAATTGTGGTCCATCTGGTCAAATTCTGCAAAGGACTGATGTGCTTTGTGACCATGAGTCCTGCACCAAGAGACACAGACTTTAATAGGCAAGTCTGAGGTGGTAATCAGATGAATTGATTGACAAAGTAAAAACACTATTATAATGACTCTGCCTGTTGGATGGTAAAATTTAACCCATACATACCAGATGGGTTAATGCCACGAGAAGACCACCTACAATGGGCTTCACGTTACCAGAATACATCGAG